GTCGTCGTCATCATCATCACCTACATTCATTATAAATTTATCACGGACCAAGTCAATCACATGATCAAGAGTGCATATTTTGTCCTCTTCTTTAGTGGCATGACTTATGCACTTTTGCCATTTGTTTTCGGTAATATTTGTTATTCCTTCTAACAAGTTTTTTTACTTCTGCCATTTAGAATGTTGTATTGTCTGGCAACATGACCTTTTACTTGAACCCAAATCAATCCGATCAGATTGAGCTCACAGTGATAGGGTGGCAATCTCAGAACAGTGTTTCTTTTTTCTGCCGCTATTTCGTAAATTACATATTTTTGGTAATTATGGCTGTGTAATCAACCGATATTCATATATTAAATCTTTGATACCAACCACGCTTGAATGCTTGCTTTGACATTACAAAGATAAAATAGACACCAATGTCGTTTTCCATAGAATGAATATTTATTATTTTCCTTTTTTGCCGATAATTCGGTTTTACTTCTAATTAACATTAGTTCTATTAAAAGGTTTATTACCTCTGCGTGACCTCTATTTTTCGTAACAATGATACCAGTCGGCAATAACTAATTACCTCTGCCCGCACTGAGTTTAAGGAAAATATGAAATATGTACTTTTAAAATTGTGTGATATAATTTAAATCAACATTTTAATTTAAAACAACGTTTTGTGTATTTAAATGAAAAAATCAGTTAGAAACATTTAGGTAGGTACGCAGGAGCGTAGCTAGCGCCGTATTAGCCGTATCAATATTACGGGGCCCCCGGACTACACAGGCCCCGAACGTGTGTAAGCAAACATTCTAAGGATTTCTCTGGGACAGGATGTTGGTTTAAACTGTTTGTTTGGCTTAGTTCCTAGGAGTATTAATTGTAAGTAATAACTTATAATCAATATATAATTATTTTAATACAATGCGAGTTTTTGTTCCTTTTGTGAAAAATCTTTACCCTTCATTTGGGCCCCCCGACAAAGTATGATACAGGGCCCAATCTCTAATGGCGCCTCTTCACGTTGGCCAACACAGTGGCGAATGTGTTGGCAGAGTTATTGGCCAAGAAATTGAGATTCGGTCCACACGTTGGAAGGTCGTTCAGTTTACTTCGCTTCAGGCCAATGTGCGGACGAATTTATTAAAATGATTATTGATGCGCTAACGGCTGCTGCTGTTTATTTATTCACAGCATACCACTATTTTTTTATTTAATTTTCACTATTTTTTATATTTAATATTGCTTTATTGTACACTAACGTTATACAGATAAGTGAACTATATAAATATTAACACACCTAGGCATAGGTATAATTAACACTTTAACAACTAAGGCCTGGAAAATGTTTTAAGCCTGTCTATGAAACTGTTGTAAAGTTTTATTAAACAAAACCTTTTTAAAAAGGGGTATTCTTCTTATTATATAATTGTAGAATAAAACTTAATAATAATAAATAATTAATTTCGTCAAACATTAAAGTTACATTATATGATCAGTGATCGAGGTCACCTAGTAAGCAAAATAATGCCTGTAACAGGTGAATTCGCTCTTCCATAGCTAAAAGTTACAGTATTATTAACGAAATAAAGTAACTAATAGGGATTAGGGAATACTTGTGGGCCATCGTTCCAATACATACCAACGTAGCTTAAACACGCGCTCTACACGATGGCCATCGTTGTGGGCAAACACATTCGCCAGTGTGTTGGCCAACGTGAAGAGCCGCCGTCTTGCGCTAATTTGTGGGCCATCGTTCCAATACGTACCAACTTAGCTTAAACACCCGCTCTACACGATGGCCAACGTAAAGAGCCGCCGTAAGGCACGCTACTCCACTGTAGGTACGATTAATCCTAAAAGTAACAGAAGTAAAAATGTTTGTGTTATGCATTTCTAATGTAATTATTTATTTAACCCTTAAATGCATCTTGTATCGATATTGATACATTGCATTCTAATAGTTTTTATCGGTTTTTTATTTGAAGTACAGCATAGGCTGAATGTTTACACGTTTCTTTGCCTTATTGCCCACAAACAAACAAAAATGTCATGTGTCAATGTTATTTCTGAAAGATGATTTTCTTGTCTGTGCTAAGGACATCAACAAGGTGCGTATAATCAGAAGACTGAGTTTTTCATCTAGCGGCGAAAACGAAAATAAGTCGAATTTTTACCAATAAAAATCACAAAATGGATGGTAAGTCCTTCATTTACTTGAAAACATTTGAAATTGTACGACTTTCATGTGTTTACGTGAGCAAATATCGCGTTTTATGTTTGTATCGAAAACGATACAGCATGCATTTGATTCCCGCCTAAACCCAATTCAATTGTTTGTTCATAACGGTTTTGCTTATGATTTTGCTTGCTTTTAGATACACAAAACTATACGTTTACGTTGTTAATATATAGATGAATGTATATTTTTGCTTTTCAGAGCAACAAATAGAGGATATGCTCAGGAGGTTGGAGAATGGTGACATTTCGGAAGATGATTTAGAGTCAGATGGAGAAAATATTCCTTATAACCCATATCTAGGAGCCTTAGCAGCTGAATTAGAGGACGATGAAGACGTTCTTACGGGACAGGACAATTCAGAAGATTTTCTGGACCAACCATTGATTCAGGATGAGCAGCTTGTGCAATGCGCACAGTCGTTGGAGCGAGTGGAAGCACAACCGACTGAATCTCTCATGAATTTGAGGAATTTACTGTGGAGAAAACAGTCTTTTCTATTTGATGAGAATAACATCAAATTTGGTGGGTCTGAAGAGTTACCTTCATCTATAATGAAACTGCAAAGTCCGTATCAGTTTTTTATCTACTTTTTCACGAATCCGTTTATGGAAAACATTGTTACTGAATCAGCACGCTATGCTGTCCAGAAACAACCTGACAGACCTGAAATATTCACAGAGGGTGAACTTCGCAAATATTTTGATATTTTAATATTTATGTCTGTTTACCATTATCCGAGCACAAGGTCGTATTGGTCTAATAAATTTAGCTTCAGTCCCATCAAAGAGGCAATGCCAATAAATAAATTTGAGAAAATGCGAAAGTTACTGCACTTCAATAATAATGATGATCATCTGCCAGTAGACCACGTGCAGCATGACAGGCTTCATAATTTACGTCCTATAATCACCCATTTAAATGAAAAGTTCTCTAGCGTGACCATCGAGCAGCGATTATCTATAGATGAACAGATGTGCGCCACCAAAGTGGGACATTTTCTCAAACAATATCTCCCCAACAAACCCCAGAAATGGGGTTTTAAATTGTTTGTTTTATGCAATTTGAGCGGTTTTGCTTATAGATTCATAATCTACTCTGGGAAAGAAGCTAATGAAGGATCCTCAAACAGTCAAAACCTGGGAGTTGTAGGACAAACAGTTATGAATTTTCTGAGTGTGGTACCCAGGCAAAGAAATCATATTGTCTATTTTGACAATTACTACACATCTTTGCCATTGATGTGTATACTTGCTAAGCAAGGTATACATTCCCTAGGCACTATTCAAAGAAACCGACTGGGAAAAACTTGCAAGTTGCCAACTAAGCAGGATGTTATGAAAAGTTCAATTCCAAGAGGGTCTTATGAAGAGTATGTTACAAATTTTGAAGGCATTGACATGACAACAGTAAGTTGGAAGGACAATAAGCAAGTTGTGTTAGCGTCGACATACGTTGGAGCATGTCCCGTAGGGAATATCGAACGATTCGATAAAAAAGAAAAAAAGAGGATTCTTATCACGTGCCCAAAGCTAATCAGGGAATATAACATGCACATGGGTGGTGTAGACCTCATGGATTCCTTTTTAGGAAGAAATAGGATTCGAATGAAGAGCAGAAAGTGGTACATGAGAATCTTCTATCACCTGCTTGATTTGACAGTAATAAATTCGTGGGTGTTATATAAAAAAGTTGAAGAAAAAAAAAGGAAACCACAAACAAATCATGACCCTTGCAGACTTTCGATCAGAGTTGGCAGAAACTCTTTGCAAATATAGTCCCGCTAACAACGGAGGGCGCCCAAGCACCAGTGCAATTAGGGAAGATCAACCCCCACTTAAAATGCGAAAAGGGAAACCTTGCCAAGTTTTGCCACCCCTTGAAGTTAGACTCGACCAAATGGATCATAACATCATGAGAACAGAAACACGTGGTCAATGTATGATGCCATCATGTAATTTATTAAGTATAATTAAATGTTCTAAGTGCAATGTTCACTTATGTAGTAAGAAATCCAAAGATCGTTTCACCCATTTTCACAATTCTTCAACTTTGTAAAATCATGATTATTTTGCAAAGCTAATGCATACTGTATCGAAAACGATACTAAAATATTTTTATAAAAAAATAAATGTTCCCGTTAATATAGATTTTTTATTTTATTTTATTCAGTAAATGTTACGCCTTTATGAGACAAAATAATTTTTTTGGGAAAAAATCTTTTATTATGCATTTAAGGGTTAATATCACTGATATTTCAGAAAGAAATTCTTTTTAATAAATTAACTTCACTGTTATGAATATTTCAATACTTCATTCATTTCATAATTATGTCCCAGCAAAGCCCATCGTTGAACACAGGTCTTCCTATAGATTTTGCCCCATAGGGAGGATATTAGCCACAGTTGCAACGCTTGGCAGGTAGGTAGGTAAACGCAGTTTATTATTTTTAGTTGTTAACAGGAAGTGACTGCTGCTTATCTTTCAATTTGCTTCTTACGATACTCACGGAATAATTTGGGGTAGCTAGATTACATACTATGTTAAAAATAGAAATAAACAGACGTGAATTTCGTACAAATTTTAATTAAAAAAATATCTTATACTATTTGGTCAACTTTTATTTAAGGTTCAAAAACAGGTGGTAAAACAAATAAATACATTCAAAACAAACATTAGCCTATGGCACAAGTAACATTAAACAAGTTTTCAGCTTGCATTTCTTGCACCGGACGTTTCGAGTACTGAGCCTCTGGACACATGTATGTGGTCACGTTTCGTCCATGGGCTCGTGCGGTGTGTCGAGCGGTGTGTCGAGCGGTGTGTCGAGCGGCGCGTCGAGAGGCGCGTCTAACGGCGCGTCGAGCGGCGCGTGCGGCGAAGGCGGCGGCGGCGCGGCGAGCGGCTGCAGCGCGGCGCGCAGCTCGACGAAGCGCCGCTTGAACTGCAGCCCGCAGCCGCGCGAGCGCCGGAACTCGAGCACGACGCGCGGCGCGGCGCCCCCAGCGGCCCCCGCGCCCCCCACACCGGCACCCCCCGCGCCCCCCGAGCCCGCGGGCGACGCGCGCACCGCCCACACGCGCATGCGCAGCTCGTCGCCGCACTCCACCGCCAGCTGCATGCACACAAACATTCACATGTCATATAGACCGCTGCTCCTCATATTATTTATTTATTTACTAAATAACATCTATTAATATGGCGTTATTTACATTATATTACAGAGAAAGAATCAGTGCTATGGCAGATAATATACGAAACCCCGTGCGCTCACAGGAACATCTCGCTCAGAGTAAGTTGATCGATCGAGCGCCTGCGCCTCATCGCAGCGCACCCACACGCACACGCACACACACACGCACACGCGCGTCAGATATAGAGAGTGAGGACTGACCATGTGCGGGTGCAGGTACCGCCAGAGGTAGCGTCGCTGCGCCAGCGCGTCGGTGAGCGCGGCGAGCGCCTGCGCCTCGTCGCAGCGCACCCACACGCACACGCACACGCACACGCACACACACACGCACACGCGCGTCAGATATAGAGAGTGAGGACTGACCATGTGCGGGTGCAGGTACCGCCAGAGGTAGCGTCGCTGCGCCAGCGCGTCGGTGAGCGCGGCGAGCGCCTGCGCCTCGTCGCAGCGCACCCACACGCACACGCACACGCACACACACACGCACACGCGCGTCAGATATAGAGAGTGAGGACTGACCATGTGCGGGTGCAGGTACCGCCAGAGGTAGCGTCGCTGCGCCAGCGCGTCGGTGAGCGCGGCGAGCGCCTGCGCCTCGTCGCAGCGCACCCACACGCACACGCACACACACACGCACACGCGCGTCAGATATAGAGAGTGAGGACTGACCATGTGCGGGTGCAGGTACCGCCAGAGGTAGCGTCGCTGCGCCAGCGCGTCGGTGAGCGCGGCGAGCGCCTGCGCCTCGTCGCAGCGCACCCACACGCACACGCACACGCACACACACACGCACACGCGCGTCAGATATAGAGAGTGAGGACTGACCATGTGCGGGTGCAGGTACCGCCAGAGGTAGCGTCGCTGCGCCAGCGCGTCGGTGAGCGCGGCGAGCGCCTGCGCCTCGTCGCAGCGCACCCACACGCACACGCACACGCACACACACACGCACACGCGCGTCAGATATAGAGAGTGAGGACTGACCATGTGCGGGTGCAGGTACCGCCAGAGGTAGCGTCGCTGCGCCAGCGCGTCGGTGAGCGCGGCGAGCGCCTGCGCCTCGTCGCAGCGCACCCACACGCACACGCACACGCACACACACACACACACGCGCGTCAGATATAGAGAGTGAGGACTGACCATGTGCGGGTGCAGGTACCGCCAGAGGTAGCGTCGCTGCGCCAGCGCGTCGGTGAGCGCGGCGAGCGCCTGCGCCTCGTCGCAGCGCACCCACACGCACACGCACACGCACACGCACACACACACGCACACGCGCGTCAGATATAGAGAGTGAGGACTGACCATGTGCGGGTGCAGGTACCGCCAGAGGTAGCGTCGCTGCGCCAGCGCGTCGGTGAGCGCGGCGAGCGCCTGCGCCTCGTCGCAGCGCACCCACACGCACACGCACACGCACACACACACGCACACGCGCGTCAGATATAGAGAGTGAGGACTGACCATGTGCGGGTGCAGGTACCGCCAGAGGTAGCGTCGCTGCGCCAGCGCGTCGGTGAGCGCGGCGAGCGCCTGCGCCTCGTCGCAGCGCACCCACACGCACACGCACACGCACACACACACGCACACGCGCGTCAGATATAGAGAGTGAGGACTGACCATGTGCGGGTGCAGGTACCGCCAGAGGTAGCGTCGCTGCGCCAGCGCGTCGGTGAGCGCGGCGAGCGCCTGCGCCTCGTCGCAGCGCACCCACACGCACACGCACACACACACGCACACGCGCGTCAGATATAGAGAGTGAGGACTGACCATGTGCGGGTGCAGGTACCGCCAGAGGTAGCGTCGCTGCGCCAGCGCGTCGGTGAGCGCGGCGAGCGCCTGCGCCTCGTCGCAGCGCACCCACACGCACACGCACACGCACACACACACGCACACGCGCGTCAGATATAGAGAGTGAGGACTGACCATGTGCGGGTGCAGGTACCGCCAGAGGTAGCGTCGCTGCGCCAGCGCGTCGGTGAGCGCGGCGAGCGCCTGCGCCTCGTCGCAGCGCACCCACACGCACACGCACACGCACACACACACGCACACGCGCGTCAGATATAGAGAGTGAGGACTGACCATGTGCGGGTGCAGGTACCGCCAGAGGTAGCGTCGCTGCGCCAGCGCGTCGGTGAGCGCGGCGAGCGCCTGCGCCTCGTCGCAGCGCACCCACACGCACACGCACACGCACACACACACGCACACGCGCGTCAGATATAGAGAGTGAGGACTGACCATGTGCGGGTGCAGGTACCGCCAGAGGTAGCGTCGCTGCGCCAGCGCGTCGGTGAGCGCGGCGAGCGCCTGCGCCTCGTCGCAGCGCACCCACACGCACACGCACACGCACACGCACACACACACGCACACGCGCGTCAGATATAGAGAGTGAGGACTGACCATGTGCGGGTGCAGGTACCGCCAGAGGTAGCGTCGCTGCGCCAGCGCGTCGGTGAGCGCGGCGAGCGCCTGCGCCTCGTCGCAGCGCACCCACACGCACACGCACACGCACACACACACGCACACGCGCGTCAGATATAGAGAGTGAGGACTGACCATGTGCGGGTGCAGGTACCGCCAGAGGTAGCGTCGCTGCGCCAGCGCGTCGGTGAGCGCGGCGAGCGCCTGCGCCTCGTCGCAGCGCACCCACACGCACACGCACACGCACACGCACACACACACGCACACGCGCGTCAGATATAGAGAGTGAGGACTGACCATGTGCGGGTGCAGGTACCGCCAGAGGTAGCGTCGCTGCGCCAGCGCGTCGGTGAGCGCGGCGAGCGCCTGCGCCTCGTCGCAGCGCACCCACACGCGCGTCAGCCGCCGCACCAACCGCTGCAGCACGCCCTGATGCGCACACTATGGATACGTAACACAAAAACCATATTTTTTAGCTTTATTTGGATCACCAACAATTGACACAACATAACAATAGGACATACATATAATGTACTATCGATAGTATCGATGGTAGAGTTATCAAGATTCCAGTGTACATCGATATTTTTTAGCTTAGTTGGTCATGCTGTACCTGCGACAACTGGTCCTGCTGCGAGCCGAGCAGCAGCTCGTCGGGCTGCGCGGGCTGCGAGAAGCTGAGCAACGCGCGCAGGTCCGCCTCGCCGGGCGCCCCCGCACCCCCACCCCCCTCCCCCCACTCGCCGCACTCACGCCCCACCGGCTGCGAGCACCACTCCCTCTTCGCGCTCCCTGCACACCATACCACAAAACTTTCATAAAACACATTGAACAACATAAACGATTTTTTTAAAATTACAATTACAGTCTATACACATTTTACACACATAATTAAAAACAACCCGGAATCCTTTTAGGGACATAAAGATAAACAGACATGACAGTGTATTAGTGTGTGTTTTAGTGGTCGTTATAGGGATGTTATAGGGATTTTAGTGTTCACAATAAGCAACTTACTAATTCAATCTTGTGAAAAAATGCGACACGCGCATCGGTAATGCAGAGTTTTTGACAATATTCTTACTTCTCGGCCAATACAAAGGCAATAAGCCCACATACACTTTGAATATTATTATTAAAAAAGATATATTATAATTAACAGAGTTTAATTTGTATAATCGAGATTTTAAAGTAAAGTTATTTTTGTATGTTTGTAACTGATTCTCTTAACCCACTGAACGGGAAGCACAGGGTTTTTGTTACATGTTGTAATAGCTAATCTTCATTCAGTAATCAAAAAAATATTTTCACATCAAGTATAATTTTTTTATAAAATATATTTTATTTATTTGAATTAATATTTATTGTTTTCAAACTGTATGTAATATGTTTTAATACATTTAAAATATATTAAAGTTATACAATATAATAAATACAAACAACATATGATTAACATATTTAAAGTTCCATTGTAAGAAAAGAAAAACAGTTCTGCCCTATCTGTTTCACAGCACTATTATACAGGGTTATTTTGCAATATACGTCCAAATTTGCAAAGATTCAGAATAAGTAATATAGGCGAATAGTGACGAAAAATTAATTAAAAAATCTCATACAGACAATGTTTGAGACTTTTTTAAATAAAAAAAAAATTGTAAAAATTACCTCGCGTATATCCGCTCGATAAAATAAAATTATGTTTATGAATGAGGCAATCTGTAAAATTAATACATTACATACATATACATAATGTTTGAATTTTTTTTATTAGATAATTAATGGAATCAGGCGTTACTACGCGGAGATTTATTATATTAAAGTTGGTAAAAACTACCTAGCGTACATCCGCTCGATAAAATAAAATGACGTGCCTTACCTGGTTTGAACAGCACCTCCCGCTCACCCTTAATTGCATGCACTATCCCCGTCACCACTACACTAGGAAAGACACACCACTGACGACAATATGACGTGTTTCGCCTCTACACGAGGCATCTTCAGGTGATGTAGACACTGCGGTGGCTGACCGCTAAGTGAGCGGCAAGCCAAAACAACTGCTATTTATACAGCCCGCTGACGCAACCGCTCCGTACTTAATTAGCGACTGACTGCGTCTTGCGATAAAACATGCAACCAATCAACACCGGACTTACGCAGCCGTTTGTAAAATTAAAAACAAACCGCCGCGTCACGCCCGCTTACCCTCTGTCCACGCAACCAATCGCCTATCACCGTGAGGGTGACAAACTACCATATTACGACGATGTCTGTTATTAGAGAACAGGCTTAAAGATATTTAAGAGAGGTGATTTAGAAACATTTGTTTGTTCATTCAGCTGTGCAACGTTACTATTAATTCTCTTTAATGTCTCTGACTGTTCCAGCACACACAGTCGCAGCCCTTTATTAGACGTATATAAATAAGACTTAGGAGTGGTCGTTGGCTAGGTTGTGTCCAGTGTCCAAAAGATGTTTAGCAAAATGGGATTTTAGGGATTGCAATTCCTGTACGCGGCTAAATGCTGTTTATAACGTTTTTTGAAATTGCGACCAGTCTGACCCACGTAAACAGCGAGGCATTCGTCACAAACAAGTTCCTAGTGTAGTGGTGTTGGGAGTAGTGGTGACAGGATAGTGCACGCAATTGAGGAAGGGCTCTTTAAACTAGGTAAAACACATCATTTTATTATATCGAGCGGATGTACGCTAGGTAGTTTTTACCAACTTTAATATAATAAATCTCCGCGTAGTAACGCCTGATTATATTAATTATCTAATAAAAAAATTCAAACATTATGTTCTTTTTATCTTTTAAATTCAGAATCCGAGGTAATGTATTAATTTTACAGATTGTCTCATTCATAAATATCTAACGCCTACTATTTTACTACGCACGCACACATTCGTAAGTCGTAAGGGTCGATCGATCGGCAAAAACGTTGTGAATTGAATCGCACATAGAGCAGCGTACGTGTAGTTGTTGCGCATAAATCACATTCAATTTAAGACAGGTTGATCCAAATTTATAAAAAATCCGAGTAATTTGCACACAATCATAATTTTGTGTGTTGGGTTGGGCGTAACAAAATAAAGCGAGAAAAGATATCGCAGTTTGTTTCCTTCGCGTTGCTTCAGATTGCCATTTTAAAAATTAGATATATTATAAATTCATATTATAGGTATCGGAAGAAACTGAAAGTGTTAACTGTGTGTTAAGCTTTTTTTGGTTTGTTCCTTAAAGTATAATTACATACATATTACTCTGAGATTTGCACAATTAATTTACGTATTACTTGATAAAAATTAAATTATTAGATATTAGCAGAAATCTAATAAAAGAAGCCAAGAATTAAAAGAAGATGAAAAAAATTACATTTGTTTGTCAACGTCTTTCATATTGAAAATATCTTCTGAAAATTATTCAAATTTATTCTATAGATATTAATATTTTTTATTAAAAGCTTTTTGTTTAAATTCATTTATTATCGGTTCAGAATACTTCAATTTAGTTTGTAGGAATTTCCTCGCAATTGTGTGTGTAAAGATTTTTCCTGAGATGTTGACTCGTGTATAAGACATTTGTATATCATTAATTATATATTTAAACCTAAGTATAAAATTTGGAAAAAAGTGAAAATGTGTTAAAACTGAAAAATAACCCTGTATATTATATAGGCAAATAACATTTTTTTTATATATTATATAATTTTAATTTCTAATTATTACACCTAAGCCACAATGTACAAATAATGCAATATTAAACGTCAAAATTACGGTTAAAAACATTTATTTGTCAAAAGATTACAAATAATCATTTACAGAGAAAATACAATATTGTGATAATTAAACCAATTAGCGTCGTCGTGTTTGATATAACAGAGGGTAGAAGTTTATAACTACATAGTGCGGCTGTGTGTGCTGGAACAGTTAAGAGATATTAAAAGTAACAATAGTACCGTTGCATTGCTGAATGAACAAACAAATGTTTCTAAATCACCTCTCTTAAATATCTTTAAGCCTGCTCTCTAATAACAGACATCCTCGCAATATGGTCGTTTGTCACACTCACGGTGATCGGCGATTGGTTGCGTGGTTGGAGGGTGGGCGTTGCGCGGCGATTTGTTTTTAATTTTACAAACGGCTGCGTAAGTCCGGCGGTGATTGGTAGCATGTTTTATCGCATGACACAGTCGCTCGCTCCTTAAGTAGAGAGCGGTTGCGTCATCGGTCTGTATAAAAGGCACTTGTTTTGGCTCGCCGCTCACTTAGCGGTTAGCCACCGTAGTCTATATCACCTGAGGATGCCTCGTGTAGAGGCGAAACACGTTGTATTATCGTCAGTGGTGTGTCTTGGCTAGTGTAGTGGTGTTGGGAGTAGCGGTGCTGGGATTAGTGGTGACGGGGATAGTGCACGCAATTGAGGGAGGGCGGGAGGTGCTCTTCATACTAGGTAAGACACATCATTTTATTTTTATAACGCGGATATTTGCGAAGTAAATTTTTCATAGTTAGGGTTTATTATTCTAAGATTTGGTAAATGTACAGAGTGCAAACGAGTAATACAATAGAATAGTATCTACATTTTGAGAAGAAGACCATTACCTGATACCATCCCTTGGATGTTGCAAAAGAGCTAGCCCGGCACAGGGAAACTAAAATGCATTTTCATGCCAACTGGCTAAGTCCCCCCTTCTAAGGCAATCTATGCGGGAGGCCTATGTTCAGGTGTGGAATTTATAGGCTGTAATGGATAAAACTAATGGATGTTACAGTAATATATTTACTGTTGTAGAAAATTTTGTTGTATGACAGTGGTATAAGAAATTAATGTATTATGATGAAGTATAAAAGGCAGGAATTTATGTTGATAGCGTCGACGCAGTGCTTTGGTAATCTAGCTTTATGAGCATTTCCACACGTCATGGAGCTAAATCGCCAAAGAACCGAGTCGTACACTCGTCGTCGCTCAGTCTTGTCTTCGTGTCGCGTCGTCCCCGATGCTGGCGTGGCCGCGGCCGTGCTGAGGCACGAGGCAGCTCTGAGACCGGCGCCACTCAGAGTCACCTAGTACCTGACACGGCCGCCGCTTTTCGTTAGCTTTACACATTATATTTCTCTTCATTTCCTTGTGCATTTATTCACTTGGCAGTAGATGTTAGATATGTGTATCTGAATTAAGAGAATATCAAAGAAAAAATTATAAAATTTTATAGAATATAAATAATTATATAGTGATAATTTGGTTAGATAATTTTAATCAGTAAGTTGATTGGGGAAGGCACTCGTAGAATATTAGTATAAAATAGTAGTAGGTTTACGTTGCTGTTTCGTATGGTGTGTATAGAACTAGAGATTTTGTTTATTGAAAATGAGGTATTTTATCTTAGTATTTAGGGGATATAATGTATTTTACATATTGAGTGTTGATCGAGAATAGATGTGAATGTGTTGTGTTGGGTTGTAATTATTACTAATCATCAGGTAGGCAGTGTGTTTGTTTGTCACTCTTCGTTTATAAAGAAATATGCGTGTAATTCACATGTTTTAGAAGTGAAGCCTTTAAATGAAATGTAAAGTATTTCACAGGAAACGATGTATGTAATAAGATAAAACTAAATGATATTTTAAATAAGAGTGGTATGGAATATAAAAAAAAGTTTAATTTTATAGCAAACAAACGTTACAATCCTTTTTTTTAGATTATATTTTAATGTAATAAATTAAAATCATATTTCTTTCGATTGCTGTGTAATAGTGTCATTGTTTCATTCTATAGGTAAAGACATTTTATTGAACAAAAATGGACTGATTCACGAGGTGGTATATAAAATAGCTAAAGTTATTAAATTGTGAATTGTTATATATATTATTCAACATGGTTAATTTTATTTATTGAATAAATTCGTTAATTTTTTATATTGTTTATTTTAACAAATAAAATATATTATCGCACAAATAGGAGAGCGAGATATTAGGAAACAGTGTATACTGTGTCGTGGTGTCACAATGTAAATGTTATATAGATATGTATAATATTTGTTTTGAAATGGCTTTACTCTGACCTGGAGGTGAGGCGGCGGGCTGGTGGGGCTGGTGGGGTGGGTGCGGCGGCGCGCAGGTCCAGGCGGCGTGCAGCAGCTGCGCCACGCGCGCGCGCCGCGCCGCCGGCGCCAGCGCGCCCGCCAGCAGCGCGCGCGCGCCCGCGCCCAGCTTGCGCCACGCGCCCCCCGCACCCGCACCCGCACCCGCACCGCCCTCCCTGCACCACGCCGCGTAACGACCGTCACTATCGCTGGCGCGCTCCCACGGCAGTTCTGCAACCACACACACACACACACTCAACAACCTCTCTTCCTTAAATACCCAAATAATACATCAACTCGCTAATTTCACAAACAAGTACTTCATACACATATTAATAATAAATCAAACTTATTTTACTCATTTTAATGCGTCTCATTTTACCTTTTTTAATTTCCGACATGTTATAAAGTACCCAAAACGTCGAGAATTATAAAACACGTTTATAATTCACACGCAGTAAAAATAAAACCTACAAAATATGAAACCAAGACAATAAAAAACATTGTATACTTGTATTCTATCTCATTCTCTTGCAACCTAAATCCTAAAATTAAATTAAATTAAACATGATAAAATCCATAAAACTTGTTTTATACTATGTATAACATTCACGTAAATATAAAAAACCATTATGTGAACTAAAACAAATCTTATAAAACTATATATAACTACATAAAAAATATCACAGTATTTATAAAATTCAACAACCTAAATAATAATCAATTATTAATAAAACATTTAAAAAAATCAACCAGTCATCTCATTAGTAATACCTCGCAATACCCTCCTATATTTTCTATTTTCTTAAAACACATTGAAAAAAAAAAAACAAAAACTAGAATAACACTTTCTATTTTCTTTGTTTTATACTATTCATATTGCATCACATTCAATTATTGTAAACTGTTCTTTTTTCAATCAACTTCAAAAACGAAAAAGTACTCAATTCAACTATATATTTTTTAATGCGTACTCATAATAATTCTCTCGGTAATAATTTTTCTCTCGGTGAACCGATTTCAATTATTCTTTTTTTAATTTAAAAGCTAGTGCTTCTCATGTGGTTACCATATAAATTTGATCAAGATCTAACCAATAACACATAAAAATTAATATTTATTTGTTCGTATTTTATGTGCTGTTTTAGACGACTAATCAAAATGTGCTTAAACTTTGTCATTTTATTGCTCACACTTGCGCGAAAGTTATAAACATAACAAAATTGACTTATAGTAGATGGCGCGCGTATCATACCAACATATTTTTTTTTTTTTAATTTATTCCTAATTAAATAATATAATAAATAGAAAGTTTTTTATTTGATACTAGCTGTTACCCGGCGCGTTGCTACTACAGAAGAAAGAGTCGTGGAATAAAGAGATTTGAAGAAAAATATCGTTTTTAATTTGGGATAGTAATATTTATTTATTTTTAATATTTACAATAATTCTATCCCAAATTAAAAACGATATTTTTCTTCAAATCTCTTTATTCCACGACTGTTTCTTCTGTAGCAGCAACGCGCCGGGTAACAGCTAGTATCAAATAAAAAAGTTTCTATTTCTAACATTCCTCTTGAGAAAAGTTGAAAACTTGTCACTCATGCTTGTACATAACAAGGTTAAAATAAAAGATTACAACAGACATGCAAGAAATTAATGATAAAGACACGCAGAAAGCTTACCGAGCAACAGCAAACAAAAAGTGTCCGAAGCGAACGCCGCGGCCCGTAACTTCGGTACCGTAACTTTAGGGCAAGCGCACGCCTACAGCTAGGATACCAAAGACACGGGCCACGGCGGCGGCGGCTCCAGCGGTCACTTCGGTCGGCACTTGACAGTTAAATGTACTGCAGCGCTAATGCCGTGTAATACTGTGTGCAATGCAGCCAACAAAAACATTCACAATTTTCATACACATACCAACCAACAAAGAAGATTTTGTCATTCATTTTAACCACTTCACTGTCCCGTGAGTCATATTATATTATAAACATTTCGATTGTCAAACTATTGAGTCTTTTTCTGCGGACAGCGAAACTGTTAAGGCATTTTGATGTTTAAGTATTTGATTTTGATACAGTTACACAAAAAGAAGTCCACAAAAACATTTTTTTTTAAATAATGACTGAAGACTGGATTTGTATTCCATGACAATGTCTTGCTTCGATGTATTTTGTAATTTTGCTTTTTATAAACTAATCACTCTTGCTGAAATTACTATTCGAGCAACAGACTAATTCAGCACATAGAGAATTGTGTCACAGTATGCATAGAGCACAGTTAGATAAGAGTATTTCAAAATAATTATATTATATATACTTGGGTCAAAATTTAACTGGCTAGATTTCTGGTAAACGTATCATTTAATATGTTTATTTTATATAAATTGCTACAATATGTAATATGTAAAACATTAAAAAGCGCTCAAGGCACTATTTGTCCACGGCATGTGTAAAATTTTTAATAAAAACAATTTAACGGATTTTATCCCGTTTAAAATATTTTTTTCAAATTTCCTTCCGTTATGGGCACTTTACACCCATGGTTTAAGTAAAGGAAAAAAAGTTAAAGTTAAATGCGATAAAATCCATAATATTAGTTTTATTTAATGTATAGTATCCACATAAATATAAGAAATTATGTGTAAAAAATAATAAAACTGAACAAAATTCCGGATGCTAAACTACTGATTGTGTTCAAGTGCTTTTGTATATGATAAAAATACCTGTACATAGTTTGTCAGTTATTGTACAGATCCCGACAGTACACTGGACAACTCATTTCTGCTGGAGTATGGATAGCATTCATTTTATAATTTCTTGTGTTTACGCAAACACTACACATTTATTAAAATTATATTTTAGCTAAAATTATAATTTTAATCTGAAGGTAGTCGTTGTTAATTATGACATTGAGACGTCGAACATTTTAGGCCCGCTGTGACCATGGGTGCAGTAAAGTGCTCAAAACGGCGGGAATATAAAATAAATTAATACATGTGATAAAGTGTAAAGACCAGTTTCATTTAAAAGCATTATTTTTGCGTAACTTTGTAAATGCTAGAAAATTAGAGTGCAGCATGTGGTGAGGCGCAGTAGCTATCGGTACGCGGTACGTGGTACGTACCGCCGGCCAGCATGGCGAACAGCACGACGGCGGCGGACCAGACGTCGGCGGGCGGCGCGCGGTACGGGCGCTGCGCGGCCGTCAGCACTTCGGGCGCGGCGTACGGCAGCGTGCCGCACACACGCGACAGCAGTCGCTCGCGACCGCCAGCCCTGCGTAAAACACTTATTCATATATATTTTTTTAACTATATTTGGTAGAGTCAATGCAGCACGAATGGGTCGGCTCGACCGGGGAAAAAGCAGAATAATACTGCTGTTTTTCGTATGGGGAGTGCAGAGAACCAGAGACCCTTATTACAGATATAGACATTCCTTAGTCCTCAGTGATGACAACGCATCTGCATTTCAATTCTTGATCGAGGGTAAATGTATTTGTCTAAAGGCCACAGCATCCACTTACCATCAGGTGGACTGTGTACTCGTTTGTCACCTAGTCTAATATAAAAAAAGGGGTGTAGCTGTGTCGTGGACCCGGCCGTGTTTTACGTGAATACGTGTACATAACATCAAAATTTATAGTAAGCGGAAACAATGTGCCGTAGCGAAACGATTTTAAAATGGCAGCACTTCGCCCCTTGCTGCGCGCTGCACGCGATGCGTCAGTCTTCTCTCAACTTAATGAATACTTTGTATCCTATAGCTATCAAGTGGTGTAATTATATTTTGAATGCAGATGATAGATATGTAGCTGCAATAGCAAACTGTATTCCCCTGATTTCGTTATCATCAGTTTTCTGAATTGCCTCCCATTATGTAATCAAATTGAAAGACATTGACGTCAAAAATCTCAATTTTAAATCGAAAGATAATGTAGGATGGGAGTCCTATCGATTAGTAATAGTTATATAAATTTATTAATGAATAACTTTCATGTAATAACAATTGAATTTTCACATTTAATTGTTATAATTATAATAACAGAATTAATTTAATAGATATAAATAATTTAACTAAGATATTTTTGACTAGAGATAGGTATTACCTATCCAAATATAATTTAAGACACTTAGCAAATGTGCTTGTTTATATATTAACTCAGCCAAGGTCTTGGCTACACAGACGTCTGCTTCTAAATTATAAAAATTAAATATATATAAAAATAATTTAAATTAGAAAATAAGATAATAGAGGTAATCTCTAGCAGTTACAATAATTTAAATAATTTAGAATGTAGCCAGATCCTTAATTGTATGACTCCACAAAATGATAATAAAAATTGTTTAAACCTGGTGCATCAGAATATACACTGCAGGCCAAAAGTTTAAGACCACCTAAAGTAGGAAAATTATATAAAATCCAATATAACAATATTGACAGTCCATGCTAAAAATGGTATAGTTACACTGATTTTTCATCAAAAAAATCCTCCTCTGCATTCTATGACTTTTTTCACAAGTTTCGGCATACGGACAATCAATTTGTTGATAGTGTCTTGTGATATATTGCTCCAACTTTCGCACAAAGCATTCCACATTTCTTCTCGCGGGGATGGGCCACAATTACGGACGTTCCTATCAAGCTCTTCCCATAAAGTTCAATGGTATTGAGATCCGGGCTCTAAGGAGGCCAAACCATGATTTTTAACGCCCCTTGTGCCTTTTCTCTTCCAAATACCCTCTGCATAATTTTGAGCTATGCTTAGGATCATTGTCCTGTTGGAAAATAAATCCATCTTCAGTTAATCGCAACCCCGAAGGAACGGCATTTTGTTCTAAAATTTTTTGTACTCTTCTTTTTTTATAATTCCGTCAAGTTTGATCAAATCGCCAGTTCCTTGGCTAGAAAAGCAACCCCAGAGTGGAGACACCACCATGCCAGATTGTTGGGACTACACAGTCTGGCATCATCTTTACTTGGTCACTGCGTCGAACGTAAATTATTCGTTTTGAACCGCCACAAACTTGGATTCATCCGTTTAAACAATTTTTTGAAAATCTTATTCAGTCCAATTTCGATGGACAAGGGACCATTGCATGTTTTTTCTTGTTTTGTAGCCTTAGCAGAGGTTTTCGAACGGCGACACGACCATACAATTTCGCATCTCTCAGTCGCCGTTTTACTGTAGTCAATCATAAAAATTTACTTCAACGCGGATTTCCGGTGCTGTTAAGCCTCTATTTCGCTTGCTGGTAACAATAATAAAATTACTTTCACTTAACGTGGTAGCTCTCAGCCTTCCCGAGCCAGGACGATCTTGAAAAGTGTATCGAGTTATAGTGCTGTGGCGGCGCTGTCGTCGCGCCACAAGCGAACCATATCTAAGCCTAAATCGCGCTAACAAAGTTCCGAAGTTAAAGCAGTATATATAGAATAGTTCCGAACTACCACTCGGAGCGTTGGCCGCTCCCCGGGCAACACACCTTGTCCGGCGGGAGGGACCCCGACGTGATATGAACAGGCAACCAATAACCTTCGGAAACTACAACTTCAAAACCTTTGTCATCATCCTCAAGTACCCCATTCATTCGCTCCCGAGCAGATATTGTCTGCAGTCTTCACATTCTGCAAGCCATCTAGCTTTACAAAGGTTCATCGCAGCTCTGGAATAATAATGCTTCCTGTTCCTTCAAGCTACTCTCTGCGCTAGTGTTCGGCACGGCTCTGAGCCTTACTGCTCGCCTCTGCTTCACGGCACTCTCGCAGATTACTTGCCTTCTTCTCGACTCACCGCAGACTACAAGGCAATCCCTGGCAACTTGCTCCGGCTCATCGTTCTCACCGGCATCACTTGCAAGTGCGTAGTACGGCATGCATTACACGCCGGCATATAGTTCGCACCGGCATCACTTGCCCTTACGAACACAACATGCATTCCCCACCGGCATTTAGGACGCACCGGCAATCGGACTGCACTATCAACCTCCGGTCTGAGCAGGGGAGTGATGTGGCGGCGCTGTCGTCGCGCCACAAGCGAAACATATCTAAGCCTAAATCGCGCTAACAAAGTATATATAGAATAGCTCCGAACTACCACTTGGAACGTTGGCCGCTCCCCGGGCAGCTCACCTTGTCCGGCGGGAGATCAACCCTTTTCCTTCCACGCGCCACAGTGCCATGAACACAAGTCTTCGATAACTTCAATTGTAAAGATCTCATGTTCGGTTATGTAAAACAACGATGGTAGAACGTACTTCACTGCTAATTTCGCGTGCTTTTCCCATTTTAAGACGTCTTCACTGTAGAAACCACAAGGTTAGACTAATTGACATTGTTTGTGAACAAAACCATGTAAACTCAGGTAATAATAAGTCGGAAACACGTGTTTTTAGAAGCTAAATTATTGACCAACGGGAAACAAAAGCAAAGCAATTAATTAGTTATTAGCCTATCATAAAAATATTATTACGACTCTAGCAGCTGGCTCTAACGCAGCGTTTGTCGGTGTATTGAAAACAATACATGATTATTGTCCAATAACTTGAAAGTAAATAAAAGAATGACTTCTTTAGATATTCGATATTAACAATAGAATATGCAGGTATGCATATCTTTTATTTATCTTATGGGATTTCGTTACAATTTATAAATAATTATGTTGTTTAGGTGTGGTCTTAAACTTTTGGCCGGCAGTGTACAAGGCATGATTGGCAAAGAGCTAGAAATTGAATTGTTCTTAAATAGCAACAATATTCATATTTTATGTATTACCTACTGAACATTTGTTAAAAGCTTATAGCTGAATGTTTAACTTCAGTAATCACCAGGTGGTGAGTTCGTTCAACAGAGAAATAGTTTTAAGAGGTGGCTCCTTAATATTAGCTAGTAAATTATTATCATGGAAACGTAATGATATTGTGAGCCTCTCTGTTGAGCGAACTGTAGAAACGGCATGTGTTGAGTTTGAGCACCTCATTGTTGTGAGCGTCTGTCTGTCTACAGACCCCCATGTTCTACATATGATACTTTTGAAAAAATTATGGAAGAAGTTCTTATTAAGCTTAACAAACAGAATAAATCAGTTGTAATATATGTAGACTTTAACATCAATCTATTAGAAGCTTCCTCTACCAATATTAAATTTATTTTTAGCGCCAACGCATATTACTGAATGTATTGCAACATGTACAGATAACTACAAATGTTAAACGATTCGTTGCGGCACCGATCTTCGACAACTTTTATCTGTGGCGGCGAACAAATATTTCATGTCACGCCTGGCGTTGCCACAGAAGTTGATGACACGCCTATTGTGCCATCAGCCATATGTAAAAATAATTTTCTTTTTTGCTTTTTTCACTTGTTTAGACCTAAGTAAGTCTAGTTGACATCAAACATCAGTTACAAACGGAAGGATACTTGTTTTTAGTAGGTAACTACGTGTTTTTCTACGTATTTTCTTTGAAATTCTCTCAAATTCAAAGAAAACACGTAGAAAAACACGTACACGTAAGCGACTTTTTTATGCTGAGATTACAAACCTCATGTACTATTTTTTCTTTTTAAAAAAAAATAATTTATGTAGGTACAGCTAAATCACCCTGGAAAACCGTGGTTTTTATGAAATTAAATTTTCACCTAATAATCACATTTGTAAATATCAAACAAATAAGAACCTTAATTTAAAAAAAAAAGGTTTATGATTCATTGATATTTACAAATGTTACATATTATTTAATGTTATACAAATGTAAAAGTAAAATCGATCTGAAAACGTCTAATTAGTAAGAATAGCAAAACAAGTGTTTTCAAAAGGAAAAAAACGCCGGCGCTATACGGCGGCGGAATGACAAAAGACTATTTATTAGCGAACTTTTATGCATAAACGGTTTCGAACAATTTCAAACAAAAATAAACCTTATACCATATCACAAGAGCACATGGTACTTCGTAGGTCTATTCGGCCATATGATAGTAATAAGACGGCAGTTCAACTATCATCATCATTACAGCCTTTCATAAGTCCACTACTGTACATAGGCCTCCCCCAAGGAATGCCACAAAGCATCAAAATTACAATAAAAAACTGCGGTTGCCAACCCGCTCGCCAAGCGTGGCAACTATGGCAAATACAAATCGTAGTTAACTTTCTCGGGATCGAACACGTAAAAAAACTCGCACCGGGCACACTGATCACTCGGGACAGTTGTTTCGTTACCTTATGTTCACAAAAAGCAAGTAGAAACATGAAAAAATTGTGTTTGTTCCAGTAAATGCACGTCGCTTGGAGAAGTTTAGAAGTAACATAGTGAAGAAACTTCTATCACTTTCATACCAAAGTGATCCTGAATTTTTTGTATGGAACATTCTTTAAGCTTATTTGCAATTAATTTGATAATATTTTTACTTCCAAAACATTCTCCTTGTCTGACAGGCAAACAGTCGGAAGGCATTAAATGAATGGGCGACAGGAATCCATAAGAACAGACAAAGGTTATATGAACTTTACCATGAAAGGTCTTATAATCCTAGCGTCGAATTTAGGGAATATGTAAAAAAAAAATTCAAAATATATTTAAAAGAGTGTGCTCCATAGTCAAGTCTTTGCATTTAAGCAACAAAATTAAGACGGTTTCTAATAAAATTAAAATGACGGAGTACAATTAACAGTGAAACTAGTAAAGTCAACTCTTGCAATTCAAACTACCGGTTAAGTTTTAACAACAAATTAACTGAATCAGATCAGGATGTTGCAATGGTTTTTGAGAAATATTTTACTGATATTCCGATCTTAACCATTAAGTCACTGAATTCTTCTTCTGCCGTCGCCGAATCATTACTTAAACAAAATGTAAATGTGCGTACAAAGAATTTTACATTTCATAAAGAAGATATTGTAAAATATTTTAAAACTAGTGATGTTAAGAAAACTGCGGATCTGTGGGGGATTTCCGTTAAAGTTATTGCGTCTATAATAGATACAATCGCGCCTCAACTAGCTATTATTTTTAATACTAGTATCAAATATGGTGTGTTTTCTGATTTAATGAAGTATAGTAAAGTAATACCTTTATTTAAATGTGGTAGTATGTACATCAGATCCCCGCCAATTTTTAGACCAATTTCTGTACTGCCAACACTTTTCATAAAAATCAATTCGGTTTCACAAGGGGTCGTCGACAACAGATGCTGATGTTGATGTTGAGCTGATAAAGTATAGTTTCAATGCATGGGAGAATTGACAGGGTGTTTTGGGTACATTCTGTGACCTATACAAAGCCTTCGATTGTGTTCACCATAAAACATTAATCAGGAACTACAACACTATGGTGTAAGAAGTAATGCTCTTAAATCGCAAAAAGTTGTCATTAATCGTATGAACTCTTCCAGGTCGATAGTACAAATGGGCGTGCCTTAAGACTCAATTCTCGGCCCCTTTCTGATTCTTGTATATTCTAATGTAATTCCTTACCTTACAAAGTACGGGACAACCATAATATAGTATTAATTGCTGATGTATCACCATTAATTTTCAAATTAAAATTAATGACGTAAATAATGCTATATCTAAATTATACTAGAATTATTTTGTGCGTGCAGTTTGGGTCATAAATCATCGCAGTATTTCGCTCTCTCTCCCACTCACGGGCCTTAGGGGCGAGCATAGTGATGCGCATTATTGTTCTCGATAAGCGTTTTCGATAGTGTATTTAGTTTTGTCATTATATGGGTTAGTGATAAAAATGAGAAAAAAATTAGATAAAACAACGTATTTATTAAAATAAGAATAATAATGATTTAAAATTAATTATTAATTAGGTATCTATGTATTAAAAATAAATATAAATATAAAGATAATAACATATATCTAAAATTAAATTTGTTTTGTTTTGGCGCTGCGCCCGCGGAACATGCTCACCGCCCTAGCCGGGCTGAGGCCGAGCTATGATTTATGACCCCAACTGCACGCAAAAAATAATTTTGCTATAGTAAATTGGTTTAATGTTAATAACTTGCATTTAAATATCACTAAAACGAAATGTATGAAATACATGACTCCAAATGTCAAACAGTTAAATATTAAATATTACATTTTAATATTAAATGGAGGAACTGAGTCTTGTCGATACCATCATTTTTCTTGGAATAACACTAGACGCGAAGCTTCAACGGAGTCCTCATATATCAAAATTAGTCTATTAATCATGTACGTACATAAAAATAAAAGTAGTTTTACAAAAAAAAGTGATGTGATATTCATTCTGTAAATACTAGGAACAAACACAAGCTAGTAGTACCAGTTACTCGACTCCACCGAGTCAGTAATTCATTCTTGGGGCGATGTATACGCTTTTACAACAAAATCTTAGAAAATATACAAAATTTGACCTGCTCAAAGTTCAAAAACTCTATTAAACAAAGTTTGTACAAAAAGGATTATTATAATATTAAGGGATTTATGGATGATAATATCCTCTGGGAATGAGGTGACCGCTACCTAGCTATTTCTAATTTGTTTTGTGTGGTTAATCGTGTAATGTATGATTGTAAGCTGTTATTTTAAAAATCCTGCTGGGTTTCTTGTTGGTTTTAATTAAACAAAAAAGTGACTTTCAATAAGTATTATTTATAATCTATATTGAATAAAAAAAGTTTCTATTTTAGTATTTTCTATTATAGAATAACAGTGACAAACAAGCACACAGTCCACTTAATGGTAAATGGATGCTATAGCCCATAGAGACATCTACTTTTATTCTCGATTAAGAATTAAAATGCAGATGTGTTGTCATCACTGAGAATAGAATGGGTCTTCGGTTCTCTACACTCACTACATGAAATACAGCAGTATTAAGCTGCTATCTAACGCTGGTATTTTGTGAGAGCGTGATCCTACCCTGGTCCAACGCCGGTCGCGCAGACACGCTTGTGCTGTAGTTATAATATATAAGCCAGCAGCATGGCTCCACCAAATAATAAAATCAAAATCTTAATTTTAAATCTGAAAACAACGTGGGATGGGAATCGTTTTTGTAAGTTTATTAGTAAAGAACTCACCTCACCTAAAAAGTGTAGCCATGCCGAAGTCCGATATCTTGATGCGGTCTCGCGTGTCGAGCAGCAGGTTCTCGGGCTTGATGTCGCGGTGCGCGACGCCGCGCGAGTGCAGGTAGCGCAGGCCGGCCAGCAGCTGCCGCCAGTAGCGCCGCGCCGCCGCCTCGCCCGTGCCCACGTCCGGCTCTGCGCTGCGGACGGAGCCCAGTCAGCGCTCGCCCTCGTGCCCACCACGCGGCTAGGTGAGGCACGGGCAGAGACCGATCCGGTCGAAGAGCTCGCCGCCCTGCGCGTACTCCAGGAACAGGTAGTGGCGGTCGGCGTGCACGCGCTCGCCCAGGCAGCGCAGCACGTGCGGGTGCCGCAGCGCGCGGTGCAGCGCCGCCTCGCGCGCGCCGCCCTCCGCCTCCCGCGCGCCCTCCCCGGCTCCCTCCGCCGCGCCCTCCCTCGCACCCTCCCCGCCGCGTCGCAGCGCCTTCAGCGCCACGCAGGCGCCCGACCGCGCGTGCACCAGCAGCCGCACTCTGCGCACAACACGCACCGCTACTTACCCACAACGTCTTGTTATGAACCAACCGATCAACAGGGCATTGTTTATAATGTCCACACAGTTTGAAAAATGCACAATATGAGTAGGTAATATCATAAAGCTATTAAAATAACGAAATTGAATTGACTTTATGACTAAAGTCCGTTACACAATCGGCAGAGTAATAAAAAGATAGGTTATACAAATTAGTTTATGACCGGATATGTGTTAAATAATGAATTTTAAATCAGTATTAATTACGTAGAACGGTTTGACTTGTCACCATTTATATTGCTAAAACATTATAAATAATGCCCAAGTCAGTTGGTCCATAACATCTATACCACTGTCAAAAAGCAGCTCCATGAAAATGATTGTCAAATTCTTTAATGGTTTTTTTTCATTCATTGAAATCGAAGTCTACTGCTGAGACTAGACCTCATAAGGGGAATATTCACCATATTTACCACGCTTGTTTTTAGGGTTCCGTACCCACATGGTAACCAATGGGATCCTATTACTAAACCTCCGCTGTCCGTCCATCTTTCTGTCAGCGGGCTGTATATCATAATCCGTAATAGGTAGACAATTAAAATTTTCATAGAATGTGTATGTCTGTTGCCGCTATAACAAAAAAAAAATAAAAATAAAATAATAGCCCCACTAGTAACGTATTTTACGGAGGTACGGAACCCTTCTTGCGCGAGTCCAACTCGCATTTGGCCGGCTTTTTCTATTTGCTGATGCCCCTCTCTTGATTTATTTGTCGCTTCCTACGACACCTACAGGATATGTGCTAGTGGATAAACTAATTTAGATGACTTTTATACCTAATGATACTTTTGAGGATTCCCATGAAAAATTTCAACTAGATCTGATGATAATAAAAAAATAATTCAAAAAAATTACTTCTGTATAGATATAACCCCATTATTGTATGTATGTCTGTTTCGACTTTTCATTTGTGACCTCATCAACAACTTCTTGACGGAGTTTTTAGTGAAAGCTCTTTTCACTTTTAACTATTCTTTATTACTTTCTATTTGTCTTAATCTCCGGATGACTCAGCGCGAGGCTACGTTTAATGGTGATTAGTGATTACCAGTACCATGTCCGCAAAAATAGGACTCCTTCTTACAACGCATTTTACTTGTTAAGTAATTTACCACTCATTGTAAAAGTTCAAGTGACTTCAGATTATGAATACCGACATGTTGTAACGCAGCGGCCACCTCGCACCCGTAATATCAATGCTGCGTTTGAACAGATGGACTAAAAGTTTTCACTTATACAATTATCAGTACTAGTGGAGTATCATCAAGAAACAATACATACTGTTTCACGTAAATTTTAATGTAGGGTGAAAGATCATTTATACATAATTATGTATATGTTGACAAGTGGTAAAATTTTGTACAAAAGACTTCAACATAAATAAAATGAGAACATCATCAATGTAGTCGAAGTCAATTAAATACGCAGTATTAAGGACAACTTAAAAAGTACTGGTCAGCTCTTGATCACATTTATATAGGACCACATGAAAAGCACCAGCTTTCATATGGTCACATAAACATCACATCACACAAAATCGGTTCAGCTAGAAAAAAGTTCTAAGGAAACAAAGAAAAAATACAGTGGAATTGAGAACTTCCTCCTTTTATTGAATTCGGTTGAAAACAGCAATGGTTAATATTGACTCTTGGGACTGGGTCCATAATTAAGGATGTTCCAGAAGATTCAGTTCCGCTAGTCACAACCGTATGCAACCGATCCAGATAAGTAAGATTTTATAGGGGTTGACCAATGTTTTTGAGATATCATAATCTCGTGTCTTGTTTCACAGTTCATCATAACTTACGTAAACGAACGCCTATTCCATACTTCAAATAGGTGTTTGAGAAGTGCAATGCAGAGAACTGAGAGATATTGTATCAGAAAAAGCTGCACTGATAGCATAATATCATGGATACATCTCATCCATACTACGATATGGTGTTCTACTCTGGGGCTATTCGGTGGATTCGGATAAAGCATTTAAAGCATAAAAACTCTGCATAAGAGCTCTTTGTGGTGTTGGTCCTTTAGTGAGTTGCAAACCTTCGTTCAAAACTAAAAGGATCTCGCCTTTGCCTTCATTATACATATTTGAAATGTGCATGTTTGTTCATAAGCATCCACATTTATTTGAACGTAAGTGTGAAGTAAGTGAAAGTAAGGGTAGATAAAAGAATAGGTTATATGTACCAAGCAAATCGTCTAAGTTATAAAAAGAAATGCATCTGCAATGGCTGCTTCGCCCGCGTGTAATTTAGGGTTTTAATTATGTTGCGCGGAACCCCAATTCTTTTTCTAAAATATAAGTAGCCTAAGTTACTACTTCAATTTTATTTATTTGTATAGATTACCTGATAATGTAAAACGTAAAAGTTTATTGTCATTTAAGAAATCTGTTTTGGCATTGTTGCTCACTAAATGTTATTAGGTATTCTGTAGAAGTGTTCTTAAACGATAACGACCTACATACGAGTAATAGTGAATGATATTTTTAGGATATAATTAATTACATGTCAGATCCCAATGTTTAAAGAAATAATGTTTTTGATATTATAAATTTGATATAGAAATAGAAATAAATTAATGACAATTGGATATGTAACATTTATAATTGACATTATATAATTAATATTTGACTTTGAACTATAATAATAATCTTACTTGATATAATAATTCTTACTTATATATATATATATATATTATTGACATTTTTCTAACACTGTAGCATAAAAAATTAATTATCAAATCAACTGAATAATATAAATAATTTATATGTTGTTAAATTCGATAAGTATTGTTGTTTAGGTTACTTGGCCATTAATATTTGGTCATAGGTCGCAAAATACTTTCAGTATTTTTAAACATCGACTTCCTGCTTAATTAGCATGGTCCCCGTGTCTAGGCACCGAAATCTTTTAATAACGTATCACTTTAAGCGAAAACAGAAAGGTGAAGATACGAGAGACCTATGCTTGTCAATATATGTATGATGATATAATTTATCGTATCCTTACGAATGGTACTGAAATAATTTTTCCTTTTCAAAGTATTATTAAAAGCCTGGCGTCGACTACAGCAGAAATGCGTCGAATCGAAGCGAGTCGCATTTATTCCTAGTGCGTCCATCTCTGACGAATCGAATCGAATTGTTCATTCATCGCAAATTCTTCAACAAAATAGGTCGTATTTGCGTCATGGACAGCTCGGATGAAGAGATGTTTTTATTTCATCGTCATAATGTGGATCTCCATGATTAAACAATTCTGGATATTGTTGGACCAGTGATATCAATAGTTCTTCATTCATTTTTATTTAAACATAAAGATTTTTACGAAAACGAAGTAGAAATTAATTAAAATACGCTAGCGTGCATCCACTTCGCCGCGTCGACTGAGGCGCGCAGAGTTGAATCAAATCGCATTGGCGAAGAAATTCGCCTGTCAAGCAATTCGCGCGGTCGATTCAATTCGGCGCGCCGCGGCTCGTCACTAATGGACGCAGTTTCATAGTAAATATATAGGAGGCGACTTTCTGCGATTCGATTCGGCTCGGCGAGCCTAGTGGACGCTTAGCCTTATAGTGACGTGACAGTAGCACTCGTCTTTACGCTCCTAAATTCTATGACAACGATGTTCTTAGTTTAAAGTTGTCAATTTTTATATCAATAAATGAAAAAGTCGGTAACCCTAACTAACACTAAATTTGTATAGCATAGTAAAATACAGTATAAAAATATAGTATCTATGTAGTAAAAAAAACGCAATAAACAACACCTAACCTATGTTTAAAATTAGTATGTCTTTGTTGCTTGTTTTAAGTCTTTTTCAATTCAGGTTCGAGCTGTGGTCAGCCTTTATTAAAATATAGTAAGGGTTAGTAAAATTAGTCCTAGCAGAGGTCCTATTAACTTTGCAGGAAAATTATTGTGCTCAAGTGAACACGACCATACTACATACGACACTCGTCTCCAACCACCCGCCCAACGTAGCAATGCTGTAGGCTAAAATCCACACTCGAAAACCATTAATTTGAGTTTTTAACACTTTTTGACTCTAGCTAGGATTCGAACAGCGGACGACGGCCTAGCAGCTAGGTATTCAATTACTCGGAACAGTAAGAGTTCATTTCCTTTCTACACTATAGACGTTAAAGGGATGTAAGCAGTTTTGTACTCTTCATACTCTTACACAAAATTATTGGTTCCGGCTTCCGGCCGAGTTCGAACTCATCAACCGGGCAACCACGTACTCGCCGTGTGGGCGTCATAACACTAATATTTTAATATTGATGATCGCGTGTAATTTACACAATCCACCTGATGGTAAGTGGTTGCTGTGGTCCATAGACATCTACATCTATCCTCGTTTGCGAATCAAAATGCATATGCTTTGTCAGTCGTGAGGACTAAGATGGAACGCCTCTTTTCCAGTAAAAAGGGTCTCCGGTTCTCTACACTCACCCATACGAAACAGCAGCGTTAAGCTGCCATTTTACGCTGGTATTCTGTGAGAGCGTGGTCCTTCCCCGGTCGAGCCAACCCATTCGTGCTACAACTATACAATTCTAAAATAAACTACATAATCTAACAATATTTTATCATAATGTCATAATAAACAATAAAT